AAATGTAGTGGAGTAAACACTTTCATTCCCCCTCTGGAATTTAATACAATAAGGAAAATGGTGTAAAATTAAAGTACAGGTTATTTAAAGTTGAACCTCAAGATCCAGTGTGTCAAATTTAGGTGAAAGGGATCGAAATACAATATAAAGAATCCTAGTGATGTTTTTACTAGTGCGTTTCATCTAAATTGTAAAAATTGTAGTTTTCTTGACCCTAGTATACCTCATATTAAATACTTCATATTCAAATACTTTATATTAGCATCAGGAGCAGGTCCTCTCTACGGAGGCGGCCATGTTTTTAACAGTCGTCTAAACTAGACAAACAAAACATCTTTGAGTTTTTAAGACAACTGAAGGTTTGGAAGGGGAGGGGGGGGAGGGGTATTCAGCTGCAACATGACACTTCACCACTAGATGTCACTACATTCTACACCCTGAACCTTTAAGTACAGAACTTGAGGAACTCTAACTTTCCACGTGGCTTCAGTTTTTCTTCCTCTGAACTAACTTCACCTCCACATTAAACCTTCTTCCTCCTCTTCTCACCTTCTGCGCGCCCGCAATGGTCTTCCTCACCACCTCCTTGATGTGCGTGTGTCCGTCGGTCGGAGGTTGCGTGTACACGGTCACCCGCGTCACCCCGCGGTAAGAGATGGCATCGGGCCAGCCCAGGTCCAGCTCCACCACGGAGGCCTCGGACCGGTCCGGCCAGTACTGGAGCGACACCTCGCCGTCCCCGGCTTCTTCTCCGGAGCCCGGGGTGATGTTCCCCGGGCCGGGAGTGTCTGGTTTCGGATGGTGCTCGTGCCCGGGCCGGTAAGCCTCCGCCGTGCGCTCGATCCTCTCCAGCTCCGGCTCGGAGAGGAACTCCCGGACCGAGTTCCGCTGGAGGCAGTCCACGAAGGCGTCCCGGCCCTTGGTGACCAGCGCCTCCACAGCCAGCCGCTGGTCCTCGCTGTAGAAAAACTCCGGTTTGCCCTCACTCACCCGCCAATTGACGTGGTGGTCGTCCAGACACTGGACCTGAGACAGAGCCATGTTTCCCCCCGCTGTCCCCCCACCGTCTGTCAGCAGTTAACCCTGGATCCTCTCTGACCCGGTGTCCACTCGTCCGTCCGCTGGGTCAAACCTCGAGAAGGCGCCGTGTGTCATTACCGTGTCCCGGTGACCTGGGAACCAAATCTTCTCTTCCACCCGCTGGATCGGTTCCTCGGCCCGGGCTGCTGCTCAGTGCTCCTCGGCTCACACACACTCGATCACCCAGGTGCCGTCGGAAGCCGCCCCCGCCCAGCGCCACGCCTCTCACCTGACAGCCCGGGGCCGGGTCCCTGCAGCCTCGACCCGGTTCAGCGCAGCTGCTGCAGCCGCGGGGCCCGGCAGACGCGCGGGGAGGCGGGGAGCGAGTGTGTCTGCCGGTGAGTCAGCACAACGAAGAACACGAGGGTGAAAACGACGCTGATCCTCATTTCGAAGTGTTGAAATTCGGCGAGTGACTCAAACTTCTGCGCTGACGAGTCACTTCCCCCCCGGTTCCTTTGTTGGCTGCTCCAACGTGGCTGAGTTCCCCCGAAAGACGAGAGAAAAAGTGGGAGGAAATCTCCCCGTCCCCCTGGTCCGAGTTCACAGCGGGTTTCCTCCACTTATCTCCCGTTAGAACGTCTCCTCCTGCGGTCACTGGGCGGTGGGGGCTGCCGGTGTGTGTGTGTGACCCTGGAATGCGGCTACGGAAGCTGATTCCCGGCGACAGACAGGCGGAGTGTCCGGTGGTTGGTTTTGGAGAAAGGGAGGAATCTAACTCCACCCTCCTGCCCGGACAGAGAGGAACCGTGTTATTCACCCAAAAACATAAAAACACACACGAGCTTCTCATGTCCTCGGGTAAACTGCTGTGTCACATGTGCTCACAGCTACTGTGGTTTTTCTATAATGATAATAATGAGAGGAGGATCAGTTCAGGCTATTTGTGGTAATTAAAATGGAAGTAACACTGAGAACGAATGTCTGGATCACTTCATTATGACACACAGAGAACAGAGAAAAGTGGATTACATTTCAATATCATGGATCTAATGTTCCAAATGAAATCAACTTTTCCTTGTGACGAGTCTAACATCCCATGATGACATTACGTACTTTATTTTCTTCACTATCATATCATATTGTTTTGCAGCATTTATTACCACAGCTGCTCAAAGGTATATGATGACACATGTTTAATTAATGTCATCACTCATGTATTAGCTGATCATTTATGCAACCCCTGATTGTTTCAGCTGCTGGTCTCATGGGTGGCCGGAACTGGGGAACCTTTCTTTTGAGGGAGCATGCATTTCTTTTTTCTTTTTCAAGCTTGCTGTCCCCTCCAGGAAACCAGCAGCAAGGAGCAGTAAATCAATAGCTACGCAGTGTGGGCAAATGACAACCCGTTTAGTTTGGCGGCCTAGTTCGTTTCACAACATGTGGCCTGGCCTTCTAAACCGAAGGCACGGTCTCAGGGAGAAAATATTTCCCTGCACTAAATCAGATTTGGCAGCAGGTGGTCTGTGGAGTTGTGAGTGAGCTGCCTCTACACCTGCCAAGGACTGTGAAGCCAGAGGAAAACACTCTATTTTTCTCCACCCAGGTGATTCTGCTGCACCTCCCACTGGTTCAATATATCAATGGTACCTGGGTGTTTGTGATGTGTCATTCATTAGCATCTTCAAAAAGAATCATTCATTAACAGAAGTGTATAATGCAAAGATACAAAAACAGTGAAGATACCATGTAATAACCACACAAAATAATGTTGAAATGACCCGATTCAAATAAAACATACATTTTGTGCTAGTCCAGGTGCTGTGTTGGAATTGGAAAAGGGCTCACAGAAGAGTAATGCTGATTCTGTTTGAACTCGAATATACTTCTTAGAGTAATACATTAATGACCTTGAACATGTCAGGAATAATCCATTTTGCCATGTGAGGTATCGATGCAATCTAGGTTCAAAGTAAGGATGAAAGAGTGATCTGTGCACAGAAATCCAACTGCCTGGTTTTCATGAGGCTGCTGTAATATCCCTCTGGGCTAAAACCTGTAGCATGGTTGACAGAAAGAAAATTAATTCCCATCATGTTCTTAAATCCACAACAATTTGTCCTAAGCAGCAAAGTCACTCTGCGAGGGGGAAAAGTGATATAAAGCTAAATGTACGATGAATTATGCATGTGAGGGCCAAAACTCGATTATACCCTTATATATCTGATTGACTGGTGCTATGGCAGTGAGGTTCAATTTCCGCTTCTTCGCTCACACTTCATAGCCTCTTACCCTTTGACAATCTCTTATCTTTACATTTCAAAAAAGTACAGAGAACCCCCCCCCCCCCAATCCGTCCGTCTGTGCTGGCAGGTTGTATACTCAAGTGTGCTTCAAAAAGACAGTTATGAACCTAGAAAGATCCTTTGCAGTATTTCACAATTTGTTTCTTATATCGATGCAGTATCCCCTAAACAGCTCTTTTACATACTGAACATTTACACTGTGGTTCGTAAATGATGGAATAATTTGAAGCTTTCAAGTAAGCTTATAAGCATGATTCAGAAAAAATGAGGTCCTTATTGTTGCTCCAGATAGCAGAGGTGCCCAGATTGCTCAATTTATTGGGGTACTTTCGTCTGCTTTATGTTATACGGGATAAATCTATGTTTTTATGACCACATTTTTTTTTTCATTGTTTGAAGACATTTAGCAAAACTCAGGACCATTGTTTGCAAAATAGACCCACATATTATTCCCATTTTTACTGCAGCCAGCCACCAGGGGGCGATGCAGATGATTTTATTCATGTATAACACTGTGTGACTTTGCTTCGGAAAGTGGAGACCCACTTATCTAACTGTGATTTTGGTATTTTCATGGGATTTGTTCATAGAATATTTCATGTGGTAACCTGTAAGGTTGCTGTCGGTAAACTTGCAATCAGANACTTGCTATGAACTCATGTAATGTCCTATATTAGAATGAATGTACAGGGAAACTGCCAAAGGAATAGAACAATATTCTAGAATTAAATATCTAGTTTTACTGCAAAATAACTCAGATTACCTTTGTCTCCCGTTATGTTGAACATACTGAGAATAGTTTCAATGACCTATACGTTCAAAACAAGGTTGAATTCCCCCCCCAGTTCCTTCTCAGGCAGAAATTGGAGCCAACATGAATTGTGCATGAGTAAAATATTCAGTTTCTCGTGTGTGTAAATGATATTTGACTTTGTCCTCCGTGTTTCAGACACGGTGGGATGTGTGGACCCTGAGGAGTGTGTTCGGGTGTGTGGGGCTGAGGTGGGATGCTCCAACATCGCCTTCCCCAAACTGGTCATTGAACTGATGCCAAGTGGTGAGAACACAGCATCGTTTCTTTTATTTTTTAAATGTGTCAGTGCTTCAATGGTTTATTTCCCACCTGCGTGTATCTGTGCATCATTGTGTGTGCGACAGGCCTGCGGGGGCTCATGATAGCGGTGATGATGGCGGCTCTGATGAGTTCATTGACCTCCATCTTCAACAGCAGCTCCACGCTCTTCACCATGGACATCTGGAAGAAATATCGGTCCCGGGCCTCAGAGAAAGAGCTGCTACTGGTCGGCAGGTATTTTACACATGTGTGTGTGTGTGTGTGTGGGGCAACTGATCTGAGAACATCTGTTATGCTTTAGTGACCTTGAGTTTTAACCCTCTCCGTGCTGTGGAGGGTCAACCTTGACCACCAGGCTAACTATAGAAAATCCAGTGTGTGGACAAAGTGAAGCAGAAGTTGTGTGCATGTTGTTGCAGGATTGTGACGGTGATCTTGGTGGTGGTGAGCGTGGTGTGGATCCCCATCCTGCAGTCGGCCAACAGCGGCCAGCTGTATGTTTACATCCAGTCTGTGACGAGCTACCTGGCTCCGCCCGTCACTGCTGTGTTCACTCTGGCTGTCTTCTGGAAAAGGACCAATGAGCAGGTACGCAACAAACACAAAAACTCATGCGTGCATTCTTTTCAATGACTTTTCATGGTCTAGAGAAAAAAGAGAAAGAAGCAGCAGATCCTCATATTTATGAAGCTGCCCTGTCACTGAGTTATGCATTTCTATTTAATGAATGACTCAAAAAGCATCAGCAGATGTTGAAAATCAATTATAAAATCAAACAGATACTTGCACCAGGTTTTTTTTAAAGAAAACAAATAGAACTAAATTGTATTCCAAAGACACAAGGTTTTACTTTTCAACACACAAAGGGAACACACCAGTGAACATCCAAAGTTCATTAAAAGTTTTCTTGGCACTGAAACTCCTCAGCAGAAGATTCTGGAGTTTTTCGGTTTTCCTCTGCACAGCGTTTTGTCCTTTCTCCGACACTGTACTGGAGTGAAGTTTTATCAGCCTCACATGGGATCCAGCTAAGTGCAAACATCCCTCGCTGCTGGGTGTGAAGTCCACATGTGTGTGGATGTTTGTCTGCACTTTTTAAGTTTGTGTGTTATAACGTGCATTGTTTTGATTTCCTCTTCTGGGACCGGCATGAATGTGATGCACTTTCGCTGCAGTGGATGAAAGAGACCGCTGGTAGCAGAGTGCAAGCGAGGAAAAGTGTGATTAGAAAGACAAAGATAACACAGTGGTGTTGAATAGATAACAATGTTGTAGTGTGAGTGTGTCAGAGCAAGTAAAGACCAGTCTGCTGCATTGTCAAGATTCGTTCCCTGTTTTATAACAAGGGTGTGCCTGCTGTGTGCTGGCACGCCGCCTAACCCACTGAAATCAAGAGACTTTTCTCAGGTTTTTCAGATTGAAAGTGTTTCCCTCTTTCCTGTAATGTAAATATCACGTCTGTCCAACTCTGGATGAAGCTTCAGTATCTGCTTGGTTTTACTTTTACCTTTTATTTTTACGACAGTGGGTTTACAATGGACTTGGCTGTGAATGCACTGTGGTTTTGCAATAGCCCAGAAAATACGGATTTGCTGATAATGCTGGTCAAATAAGGACATCCCTGTTGTTATATAAAAAAAAAAATCCTTTTTAGCTAGTGGAAAGAAATGTTGGTGGTTCCACCACTTAAGTGAAATACATCAACAACTTGGAATGGATTGAGACATTTGATATGGACATTCGTGGTCCCCAGAGGATAAATCCTACTGGCTTTGATGATCCCCTGACTTTGAATTTGGCTGGCAGGGCTTTAGCATCAGCATAACACCATTAATTTACTGAAATGGGTCTGATTTCCTAAAATATTTACCAAATTTAAGCCCAGTTGAAATCAATATTGGCTACTTCCTTTACTCCTGCAAACACCAAACCCATGTTCACTGGAGAAGTTGTAAAATGTCACAACTCTCTGTTCATTTTCACTTTAATCCATAAAAATGTTATTGAGCAGGGTCAACATCACTTCTACTGAAAAGGCGTGGGCGCTTTGTTTGTGCAGATAAACAGGAGTTAAAGCACAGAGCTTGAATAATCTAAATGGTGTTGACTCAAGGGGTCAAAGATCTCATGTTACTGCTCAGGATGTGTCATATGCTGACGCTGCAGAGAGCAAACAGTTCCGATCTATTTACCTGGGAATACGGTGTTCTCTTTGAACCAGAGCAGCAAGTGCAGCTCATAAAGTCATCTGTAAACCCTGTAACTAGAGTCATCATAAGTTTAGCTCATATCTAACATGTGTCTGGTGATCATCTGTTAATCCTAGAAATCACCTTTTGGGATTTAATTCCAAAAAACTATACATATCTTAAAATCTATGTAGATTGATATTTATATTTAAAAAAAAAAAAGGCCATTCCACAACAGTTATCTTAAATAATTTTATTTATTTTGAATAGTTTTTTAGGGATAAATAGGTCAAATAGAGAAATGCTTTAGAGGAAAGTGTAGAAAGGAAAAAGAACATAAGAGGAAAAGTGAGAAAACATGACGAGCAGTGAAGCAGGGGTGTTTTCTTTGAGTGCTCCGACAGGCTGATTGTTTTGTGCTAAGTCAAACCGCTCGGATGACATTCTTTGATGAAGGCTGGAAACAGAATGAGACAGAGAGTTATTTGTGACACTGCACGTGTGTGTAAATATGCATAGAGACAAAGACAACAGATCATGGTGGGAAAGTGAGAGTTTTATTATTTGAACACGCCCAACGCTGCTCAGACTGAAGCCAAAAAGATCAGTATCACTGAATAAGGCATGCAATGTTGTCTGTGTGTGTTAATAAGTGTGTGTTTGTGTGTTTTCAGGGTGCATTCTGGGGCCTGATGGTGGGATTGGTGGTGGGTGTGTGCAGGATGGTGCTGGAGTTTGCTTTCCCTCCTCCTAGATGTGGCGTCGTGGATTCTGCCCCTGCAGTGCTGCGCAGCGTCCACTACCTCCACTTCGCCATCCTGCTCTGTGGCCTCACCGCTATCGTGGTTACTATAGTATCGCTGCTCACACCGCCGCCAACCCCGGAACAGGTGTGTACACATAGATACGGTAAATAACAGAACTGTGAAGCAGGTGAGCTCAGCAGGTTTTCTGTTGATACACCTATAATGTTATCTACTTCAAAATAAAACAGAAGAATATGAGGTAAAGAAACAGGCAGCTGAAGGTTTCAGAGCAGATTAAGTGATGGTTGGTTTCTACGCTAGAAACCAGTCGCAGGCCGTGCCCATATAAATCCAGTACACTACACAAACCAGGCTCTAAGTATAGTGGATGTATTGTTGTGCACAATTGAATGACACATCAAATGTCCCAGCCTCATTTCTTTAGGTGACCTATTTGTCACACCTGACATGACACTGGCCTGCGTTTGAACTCTGAATGCAAGCATCAGCGTCTCTGATAGAAAACCATGTCAACCCTGACAATAGATAAAAACACTATAGCATAAATGGAACAGTTCATTATTTTGGGAAACATGCTTATTTGGTTAAATGAGAGGAAGTCTGTCTGATAAATATGAGGCTACATCCAGCACTGGGTTCTCTTAGCATTATATAGACCATAAACACAGCTGCAGCTCTCTGATCAACATGAGATATCTCGTTCTGTCTAATGTCAGGTGGGCGTAGTCAGAGTCGATTTTCCTAAATAACCCAGGCGTGCTGTTTCCCTCATCCAATGTTTGAGCTAAATAAAGTCAACAGACGAATGGCTCCTGCTTCACAATCCTTGTACATACATGAGAGAGGCATGTTCTCCTCTAACTTTCCATTAGAAGACAAATAACTGAATTCCCACTGTGTCGAGTTCAGGATGTCAAAAAAAGTCCCACCAATGACCGTGTGTAAAGATGGATGACACGTCATCCCAGATACCAAACTCATTAGAGACAATAACACTTGAACAAACATCGGTGTGATAAGAACGATCTAAACCGACCGAGAAACCATCTTTGATAGCAATTATTTAACGCTAACCTTGACTTTATATCTCGGTCCATGTCCTGTCTGCTAACATGGAGGAGGCAGGGGTTAATGACCTGCACTGCAGCCAGCCACCAGGGGGCAATCAAGGTGTTTTGGCTTCACTTTTGAGAATCGTCATGTCATCGAATCTTTATACACAGTGAACGGGACACACGTCCAGCCTCTCTTTACTTGACACAGGTTCTATTTAAGGCAAAATATAATAATTGGCAAATTAAATTGTGTTGCATTTCCTGCCACTTCTCTCTCAGTTGTGTAACCTGACCTGGTGGACGATAACTGAGGAGCCACAAAGAGAAATTCCTCTTCAGAAGGTTTCTTCTGTCAGCCACCGTAGCTCCCAGGGTAAGAGTCTGGATATCCACACTACTCAGAATAAAACCAGCTATCATGTGATGAAGAGTCAACTGTGAGTAACTTCCTGTATCCGCTCTCTCTGTGTGTGTGTGTGTGTTGCTGCAGGCTCCGAGTCAGCTCTGCGGGTGACGTGCGGTCAGAGGGTGCAGAGATTGTGCATCTCAGCAGTGCGGCGGTCGGAGGAGGCTCCAGCCCCCAGAGTTCCCACTCTTAGGGAGAGTGTGTTCTGGTCGAGGTTCTGCTGTGCTAACGCGCTGCTGCTGATCAGCATTAACATCTTTCTCTATGCGTACTTTGCCTGAGTGGATAATTTCCCATCTAACATCCTGCAGGTCCGTCCAACACAAACTTAAAAACTCTGCTCGTCTGCCAAAAACAACTGAATTCTCCAGATACAAGAAAGTGGAGAAACAAACAGGTTTTATTGAAGCAGTTGTAGTTTCAGGTGCTGTAAAACATCCATATTTTAAAATAGCCAATTCCTCACAAACCTGATAGCTGATAGTTTCCTGATAGCAAATATTGAGACATTCTTTTATCTACATCTGGTTCCACATCTGGTGTCAAATTACACAAAGGGATTGCCAATAATAGAAGACACATGTCAGACATTTTCTTTTAAGTAAGTGGAAAAAGTCAAAAATGCACCGTATCACAATGTTTTGAGCAGCTCAATGTTGTCTGATAATATCCTCTTATTATATATTATATATTCTGTATATTTACAGATGTGCTTTCATGTTATGGTTAATATTCAACTTCTGCCCCACTATAAAATATTTGTTCCTAAAACTTAAATCATGTTATAAACTATAAAATACTGTGAAGCTCGTGCCAAGCTAACATCACTGCACGTCCTCGACAAGGAAATATAAGCAGAATACATTTATGTGTTTTAGGTTGAATGTGACTCTCATATTTCAATTTTCCTTATTAATTCGTGTGAATATTGCTAACTATACATTTATGTTGCTGGCCCCATTTCTTTCGTGTAAGGTTTTGTGAACGTTTAGCTGTCGCACTAGTGTTCTTTCATAATATTTAACTTTTATATTAATATAAATCAGCCTTTTCTTTATCCTGTCCTCAAAAAGACCGGTGTCAATGATTTAACTGTTTTCAAAAGGGCAATTTGAATCCAGATGCAACCAAATTATATTTAAATAATTAAAGATTTTACATTTTTTATTATTACAAATCGGTTAATCAATTCTGAAAAGTGCCTAATGCCCTGGTCTTCTGACTGACACTAACCTCAAGGCTGAGAATCTCTAATATTGTGTTAATGTTGTAAATTTGTATTGGTTAAATCCTTGAAGAAGTATTAAGAAGTACAAAGTGCTGGATTGTGAAAAACTCCTGTCAATTAAAAAGACAGGAACTTGTTAATCAAATGTTTTCTTCTCGTGATATCTCTAATAAATCTGAAGATGCATCCGAGCTGCCCATGTTTGTCCACAAACGCAAATTACAGTATCAGATAATATCACTCTTTATTTGGCTTCTTTACATTTAGTGGGGAGGAGTTTGGCGGCATGAACAATATGGTAAAACCAGTCAGATTTCAGGGCAGGCTGTGTGTGAACAGGAGGAAATTAGGTCCCAGGAAAGCTGCTGAGGTTCATTCAGGGCTACGACAATTATTATTTATTTTATAATATATATTATTTTTATTTCTAAAAAAGTGTTGGATTATTTTTGAATATAAATTCAAGCCATTTTATTTTTTTACTGATGAGTCTGAAACATGAAAACTACAGAAACCAAGGTGACATCTTTGAATTGAGTCGTTTGTAAGAATATTATAAACAAAACTACTCAGCTACAAAAACATTAATCCATAACGTATTGAGGACTAAAATGATAATACGTCAAAAAAATCAAATCATAGAGTTGAAACATAAAAAATGATGGTGGCTGGCTGTGATATAGGTTAAAAAAAACTGCCTCCTCCATGTTAATGAATGGGACAAACTAAAAAGTCAAACTACACATCAAAAACATTTTTCTCAAAGATTACTTTAGTCATTTTAGGTACTTCTTATCACACTGATGTTTGTTCAAGTGTTCACCTTTACAGTACGTTTGGTTGTTATTAGTTGTTGCTTTAAATATGCGGTGAAACTCATTAAGAGTTGAGACTGACTCTGATTGGTGTTTGGTGACGGGACCAGACACACTCGACCTGGCTGCAAGTGTGCAAGATGATAGCGTTCAAATCTGAGATAGTTAGTTAGTGAGATAGTTAGAAATTAAGTTTATCTTAATTTCTAAAGAAGCATGTAACACATGATTTATACCACCCTATAATGTAGTGGTGTGCAGCCAGTAATCTATTTATAAAGCAGCCTCCTGGGTGTCAATAGAGCGAGTCATAGTTGCTGGCAAATACACAAATAAACAATCACAACTATATCATAGCGTGTTATAAACCATTTACCACATGTCTGCGTGCTGCTTATGAAAGCTAATTCACAGTTGATGAAATCTGAATTGATTATCTGACTAATTGTTTCAGCTGCAGTTCAAATTCATTGTCTGATAAGTGAGATATGTTCAGTGATCGTAGCCACTGCACTGAGGGCGTTCAGTTTGATTTGGGGTCAGTGGTACAGCAACTGGACGTATTGTGGTGGAAAGACGCCGACTCGGCCTCGACAGTGTCCCTTCCAGGTCAGCGAGCCGGAGCAGTCCAGCAGGTCAATGACGTCGCCACGCAGGAAGTGGAGGTGAGTGGTTTGATGAGGGGTGTAGTCACAGAGGGCGTGAGCCACACGAGGTTTCTAGACAAAGACGGAGCAAAACAGTGATGTCAGACGAACAGGTTTGCATGTAACAGCAGTCGAAGGTGTTTATAGGAGTAACTTAACAAAGATTTGTCATACCACCGGAGCTGTTTTTCTCTCTGGGTGTGAGTAGAGATGGGGCGAGGGGAGGGATTCCTGAGAGCTGCTTTTATAAGGGTTAGGGTAGGGGTTGTGTCCAGGGTGGGACAGCAGGCGAGGGGACGAGGGAGGGTCTCTGAGACAGATGAGTTTCTCCACGGCGATGCTGTGAGTTCTGTAGAAATCCACCAAACGGTTGAGGGAGCAGAACGACTCATCCCAGATGCAGTACTGCCCGCCCGCCTCCAGGACTCGGAAATGTTCCACCCTGTCGCCGTAGCTGCAGGATTAAAGAGGTGGATAAAGAGAAGTGAGGAAGTTAGGCAGGTACGTCTGCTGCGTTAAGCTCCAACACCTGCCGCTGCTTCATTCCTCGGCCTGCGTCTTTGTGCAGAGTTCACTGAGGCGTATTGTGCATACCTCTGTCTGCATGAGTGACGAAACCACGAACGTCTCTCAGGATATGAATGTGATAATCAATCTTCTCTGAGCGGAGAAGGAAACCAAGTAAGAAACTATGTGAGTGAAGATATAAATAACTAGAGTGGCACTCAATATAGCGCTTTAACTCTGCCAAGGCCCAACTCTTCCTTAAATCCAATCAAGCTGCGCCAAATTGCATACACAGAAATTAGTCACCTCAATATGCCTGAATTTTCATCCATGAATTATTCCCAGGGAGATCCGTGTCTGACAGAGAAACCGAGTCTTAGGCTATGCTAGTGGCTTCGATGTAATACTTTGAATATCAGCATGCTAACATGCTAACGCTGACTTTAAACAGATGTATTGTTTTTATTATGTTTACCATCTTAGCTTAGCATGCTAATATATCGTCATTTATTGTCATTAGCAGTAAACACAACGTATAACTGATGGGACTTTAACTATATTGAATTATAACTCTGACCCAGTGGTGGCGCTGTGGTAAAGTTAATGCACCAACCGAGGAGAACATAAACAACTGAACCGAATTTCCTAAGATGTTCAGACATTTCACCCAAATTAAAAGAAATGGGAACCTCGTGCTGGTGCGATAGGAACTGGAAGGAGAAAACTTAAGTGTTAAGGATTCATCTTCTGGGGACCATGAACGTCGCCATGTACGAATCTGTGACATCGGTGACTCATCCCAATTTCAAAAACAAAACCAGATATTTCAGTTTGGAACAACGTGGACTGACTGAACAACCTATGATAGTCTGTAGACAAACAATGAACTGATTCATAAAAACAAAATCAGCACATCAATCAATGATGATAATAAAATGTTGGAAGACTAATAATAACCTCGATTAAATAGCGTGTCCACCGAGATCTGTCTATTGACTGGTCTGATGAGTAATCGTTATTAACCATGTCTCCTCCCTCACGCCAACAACTTAATCACCTTATTATTCTAAGAGGAGGTGAACAGTATAATACATCCTGTGCTGCTCCTCTGACAAAGAGAAATGAATCCACCTAAAATGTTTTGGTGATTTACTGGTGTTGTAGTTAATACTGTATGACGGGGGTGGAACAGCGGTGTCCTCACAGCAAGAAGGTCCTGAGTTTGAACCCATCTCGTTACATTATAGTGTCTGTACATTGTCCTCATGTCTGCATGTGTTTAAACCAGTGTCCTCCCACAGCCTCAAGACATGTAATTAGATTTACAGGAGATATTGCCTGTGGTGATGTCCCAATTCTTTACAAGATAATTTTTAATCACATGTTTTTGTTTTTAAATATACTGTTTATGTCATAACTGAACAAGAAATCAATATACTTGACTGTTAAACATAAAAGTAAACAACAATAGTTGAACAGAAAAGCACTAATGTTAACATCAATTAATGGCTTTGATCTATTCAAATGTCATCGATATACCAGGGCCCTGAAACTGAAGCAGCTTAAAATTCAGCCGTCTTCCATTCTATTTTCCACATCCGGGATCTTTCCTGCTGTGGCACGTCCAAAATATCTTCCATTAAAAATAATCGGCCTATTGTGGGACAGAGAAGCGAATCAACAACACGACTGTTGTGTATGATGGAAAGTCACACTCTCATCGAGCGCATGCTGCAGGTGCACGTGGGTAAAATAATGAATAGGTCAAAACATCACAATTGCTGCAAACCTTTGCTGTTTACCAACTAAAAAATAAAATCTTATTCTTGAGCAGTGTCGCCCCCTATTGCTCACTTTAAGGTAGTAAACTTTGTGGTTGTACTGTACTATATCTGCTGATGTATATAAACACAAATAACTACACCTCTTACCTCCCAGTGCTCGCAGGCAGACAGATGTTGAGTTTTAATGTGTGCACATGTGGTACATGTGTGTGCTTGGCATGTGTCTGTTGCATAATGTACCTGTGTTTAATTAAGGACTGTAGTATTACATAATGCCCCAGTTATTATCGAACACATTTTAATCTCCCCTCAATCATTAATTGTGTCCCACGTCCCTTCGTTGATCCAAATTACACTTCCTGCTCTCTCTCAGACACACACACACACACACACACACACACACACACACACACACACACACACACACACTATGTTGGCACGGCTGTGATATTTTTAGTGGATTTTGTGGAACATATTTAAATAGTCTGCCGCTCCCCTCCTCTGACCCTGACACATTCACAGACACGTGGTTGCTCTGACTTGCTAATGTGCTCAGTGTGATGGAAAACAAGCTGCTGCCTGCATGTTTCATACAACACGTCTGGTTCCACAGTTTATTCCATCAGCGAGGTGATAAACAATGTTATGGTTGAGAGATGTGAGCCTGGAGCAGATGTTCAGGTTGCGGTTAGGACAGTTAGAAGCTGAGTATGAGGAACCTATTAAACCAAAACATGGCATACAGGAGCTGCATCAGGCTGCAGAATTAAATTTGACTTTGGCTCTTTCAGACAACACCTCATCCTGGATGTGGATAATGTCCGTGGTGCATTCACTGACCTGACAGAGACAGAAAACTCCCCAGGAGCTGATTCACTCTCCCTCACCAGGAACACTCCAGCGTCCTGCCAGCGCAGCCGCTGCTCAGCCTCAAGTCTCGACACCCGACCTGCAAACCATCTATTTGAACACACAAGAATTTAAATTACACAGCAGTGAGTACCGTCTGATTCACAAATCAAGTCAGTTAAGAACATGAGTGGTTCTCATGATGTAGATCAGGACCCCAAAAAGAGGAGTCAGAATAACAGAGATTCGCAGAATTATTACTTTTTTTATAACTATTGTGCTTAAAGGTGAAGCACTTTTATTTATAAACCATATTTCATTCACAGAAGTAGATTCAAGGTGCTGTGGCATTAAAAACAACAATTTAAGAGTAGAATGAAAGAGTTTAAGTTATAAGAGGCAAAAGAAATAAAAAAGTATAAAATCTGTATAATTGAAAAAAAAAACAAGTTGGGGTAAAACAATACAAATTAAAATAGAATGAAATATAATGATGCGAATCGAGATTTTCTAAAAAGGCATTTTTGAATAAGAATGTTTTCAGTCTAAATTTAAAAACTGCAACTGACGAGGTATTCCAGCGCTCAAGAGGTCCGAGTGCTTTGCAGAGAATAACAACCACAATTAGCTTTTCACATTTTTTCTTGTGAAATAAATATATATATATTAGCAAATTAAGGCTTTAAAATGGTTTCAAACTTCTGAGGGGAAATTTTTATGTTTTAGGTTAAACACTGAGACATAATCTTTGGTGGAGACATCACCTCATTTTAAAGGGTTGCAAGCCAATAATGTTTTGGTCCGGTAGTTACGTGCAGGCAACAACAATCAGTAGTTTTGATGGGATGAGCAATAAAGATTTATATAAATTATATAAATTGATCTGTTATTTTTAGTGAGTAGAACATCTGAGGAAAACATTTTACCGATGAGGAAGGAGGGAAATGTAGTTTTCAGGGATGAAGCCACGTTTCCCCAGAATCTCGGCTGTGAACCAACAAGAATCATCCTCCATTTCTGTCACCTAGAAAAACACACTTTTATTTTTACTCTGTCAACATGCAGCCTTTGGCAAATTTCCCATTTTAAAACGTCAACACAAACACACACACACACACACACACATACCTTGATGATGTCCCCTTTCTGGAAACTGATCTCATCTGCTTCTGATGCTGTGAAAGAGAAAAGAGCCACCGCCTCCATGATGGACAGAGCGAGCAGTCAGCCACAAGAATGGCTTCACTTCATGAATGGAGACAGAGAGAGTAGAGCTGTGTGAAGAGGGCTCAGTGGAATGATGACACCGTTACAGGATGAGATAATCAGTGTGTGTGTGTGTGTGTGTGCGTGTGTGTGTGTGTCCAGCTCATTAGTTAATGAGGAGAGTTTTCAGTGTGCGTGTGTCCCTCTGTTCTTCCATGTGACATGAGAGTGTGAGCACGAGGAGGAAGTGACTGTCCTCCATCCACGGACACTTTCCTCTCTGAGGGTCTGATGACGCGTCTCCTACGGGGAAATAAGTGACAGTGGACGGAGGTAAAGAGAAAAGAAGAGAAGGAGGGAGGGATGAAAATAACCTGAGATGTGTGATGACCTGAGGTGTTTAAAGCATCTTGTTATAGTTATTTTCAGAAGACTCTGCAGAGGTTGAACTGAAGCCACATTAAATGTTCTGTTCTGTTGGCCTCATATCACCCGTCTTTACCTTTTGGTATCATTCATATTAGAGTGATACAGTAATTGTAGACATTGCTTAAATACAATTATCGTATATTCACAGGATGACCCAAAAACTGAGGTATGTGTGTATTATTTTTCAGTTCTTTATCCTGATGGACGTTTCTACACAGGTTCCAACTTAATGAACCATGTCAGACGCATCTGTTCTACTTCAGTAGCACAGGAACGAAGCTACCGCTACTCGTTTGATGCCTCTGCTACGTGGTCACTGCAGACGAGGTGCAACGGTGCCAAGCTGTCGCCCCCGTCGATGTGTGGATGTCCAGAGGGTGAGTGAGCGGAAGAGACGACAGTTGATTCCGCCTGGTGAGCTGATGGCGAGCGATGGATGAAACGAAGCAAAAGAAATGTCTATTTTTGGGTTCAGGTCAAGTAAATGTTTGGGCCGGTGGAATAAAGACAAATGTAACAGCATTATATTAACTTTATATTTTTAAAAAATCCACATCTTATGAAAGAAATATCTTTATTTTCCTAATTCAATATATATATATATATATATATATATAGTGGAAATCTGTATCAGCATCTGTCCCCAAAAAGTCCTGTGTGGCTCTAATCACAACAACAGGGAGGCACATGTAGTTCAGAGTGTGTTGTCCATCACTGATAACAAACCAATGGCAGCGTGTTTGTGTATGTGTGTCAGTAACAGTCCACTATAACTTCCTGTCCTTGTTCTGTGTCTTGATGAGTGTGTGCGGCGCTCGCAGTCAATATGTCCTGCAGCAGAGAGAGAGGAGAGTTGTGGACGTGGTCACTGCTTTGACTCAGTATGTCCAGTTTCTCGTCCAAACCCAGAGACCTCAGCATTTCACACACACCGACACACACGCTGTCGCCGCTCTCGCTCGCTCCTTCCTTCCCGACCTCACCACAACGTGCCCCATGGGCGATGTCTGCCTCTTTAACCCGATCAAACCCCTTCATTCCCGGTATTTTTCTGATCTCCCGGCCCCAGCTGCATCCTGGCAGTTCACAGGTCACCTTGGCGACGGTTGCCGGGGCAGGAGTGGCATCCAGTGGCTCTAGCGACAGAGGGCAGACAGTCTCTCTGAGCGTGATCAGCAGCTGACAGGCCTTCAGACCCACGGGTCTATCGCAGTCGACCAGACCGCTCAACAAAGCCGAGACGACTCCCTGCTCGACCAGGTTACTCAACGCACTGGCCAAATCTGACTCCACCCCCTCTCCGTGTGTCCCAGTGTGTGTGTGAAGCGCACGAGTCTGATCAGAAACCGAAGCGTAATGGTGAAGCAGAGCGGGAGGCGTCTCTGAGCCCTTCGTGTAACCCCGGTGGCCTGAACAGGCTTTATCCATCAGCAGCTCGGCCAGCTCCAGAGTGTGAACTTTGACCTCCCAGTCCAGATCAGCGCTGCCTAGAGAGAGGACGGAGCTCACAGAGTTCATCCGCAGAGAGGAGGAGGAGGAGGGAGACGACAGAGGAGACGTGTGGGAGGCAAGTGAAGAGAACCAGGCGATGAAATATTGCACAACTGCTCTCCGGGCGAATCCCTCTGTGTCTTGTGAGAGAATTTCAAGTAGCCGGGTCACAACGTCAGTCTGCAAGAGAAATAAACAGAGAGGATTATCAGTACAGTCGAGTACATCTTAAATAAACTGGAGGAGACGGTGTTACAGTTGGCTTTGAGATTATATCAAGTTCATGAATGAGTGGCTTTGATGTGTTCCTCACAAATAAGAGTGAAACCAAGAGTTTAAACTATCTAACCACCAACTATGGCTGGGGATCAAACCACCGAGTCTGCTGTACAGTGGACGGGCCCTCGACATCTGATCTGCAGCCTCAGACGTGTCACATTCATTACATGAGCCCATGATGTAAAACCTTTTAATAAAAACCGGATAAAGCCACAAAGCACAACTGCTCACTGTCTGAAACTACAGCAAGTTCTTTCCTGTACGTTTGTGTTTTTCAGAGGAATCCCTTCTGCCTACCTGCCCCTGTGTGACCGCTGCCCCCTGGTGCCAGCTGTGTTCCAGTGTCTGTGCCAGTGCAGATATGGCACTGGCTCGCACGTAACTCTCTGGGTCCTGCAGCGCCTCCCTGAGGAGAGGAGTGCTCCAGCAGCCGGCCAGCAAAGCGTTGCACATTTCCTCGTCTGGTTTCAGGACACTTGCCAGTTTTCCCAGAAACTCCACAGTTGAGTCTCTCACCTCCCAGCGCATGTCGCACGCACGTTTCTTCACGACGTTGATGACATCTAACAGGGATACACACACATAAACGCAGTATTATGTAATTAACACAACGTACAGCCACAAAAAGAGCAGTTTGAAGAGTACATTTGAGAAGGCTGCTGGTGAACTTTACCTTTTCTGAGCTTCTCTGTTAACGAGGAGAGGTCTTCACACACACTCATCCACTTTAATAAGGCCTGGTACGACTTGTGTATCACCTGAGAAACACAGATACTGTAATGTGGAATAGCTTTAAATTTTTTACTTTCTAAGCAAGAGACGGAAATATAAACCTGAGGTAACTATATGTAATATGAGACAATAAGTAACAACTAACAGTAGGATATAAATGAAAAAAGAAAAGAAAATGTAAAAGTTGTGTTACCGGAACACAACATACACAGACACACATACTTACAGTGGGGTCAGAGTCAGGATTGTTCAGATACTGAATCAGAACTGTGACAACCTCAGTCAGTTTGTCTTTCATTCCTGGAACACACACAAGGAAAATATAAATTATAATCTAATGTTCTAATGTTATTTAGACTAATTATTTATTACTATATATATTAGTATCTGTCTGTCCATTACATTATCTGTAAAGGTGAAGGAAACATGATGAGAAGAGTAAGAGAACATTTTCTTCCACAGCAAGAGGCTGAGTTTTTACCTGGGCTGCTGCTGAGACCCGTCAGAACCTCTAAAGCACATTTCTGAACTTTTCCAGAACCAACAAGGTTCCTGAAAACCTCAGAACAGCCAGAGGATGAGGAGGAACAGTCGCCACTGCCGATCCTTAACAATGACAGAACTGCAGTGATGATTAAAACCGGAGGACAGGGGAGTAAGTCAGGAGGCTGAGGGGGAAAGACAGAAACAGTGATGTTAGGCGGCTACAGGTTATAAATACTGTCTGTTTCCTCCTCTGTATAATCATGTGTCCTCGTATTCTCACCATGAGTGTGATCGGTGGCGTGTTGCTCAGACACACACAGATCATAGAGATGCAGGGTGTTTTAATCTTCAGCTGTTCTGCAATTGAATACTGATGCACTTCTATAACAAGAACAGAAAATATATTAGTTACATTTAAATTGAACTTTTAACTTGTTCCCTTTTTTCTAATGTGTTAATCACAGTGTGTTACCTGCAGCGTTTGTGCCCAGGAGAGTGTGACCAGTTATAATGTGGAGGGGCAGCAGTAGTATTCTCACAGCCTGAGCTGTGTGGACGGTGTCTCTGGAGAAGAGAAACACAGAAGAACTATAATCAGTTCAAACTGAGGTCGTCCTGGTGGAGCTGAACGTGCGTGAGAGTGTGAACAGATGCTCACTGATGATGATGACCTCCGCGGAGAAAAGCAGCTGCTGCACCAATGAGGTCAGACGGTTTGCTCACGTTGAGCATGGAGGACAGAAGACGAGTGACACGTTGGTCTGGGACACAGTCATCAGTGCCGGAGCTGCTGAAAACACATATAGAGAACTTACAATTCAATCTGAACCTGCTTATTCAAATGTCTGATTGTTATAAATATTTAAGTTTACGATGCCTTGTTGTATCGTTCATACATGACTACAGTCTTCAAACCAACAAACCATTAAAGCTCTCTGTCATTATGATGGAGCTGGTCTACCTGTATGCAGCCAGAATGATGTCCATCAGAGGGAGGGTGAGTTGACTGTATCCTGCTGTCACCAGCTCCTCCAGAGAGTCTGCGACTGCCCCGAGCACCTTGTCCCGGAGAGGCTGCCTGGCCCGAGCCAGGAGCAGAGCCAGCAGTTTGAGAATCTGCTCACTCTGATGGAGCCGAGTTTTTTCTTTGGGAACCAGCGACTCCTTGAGGAACTTCGAGATCGTCACGAGCACAGCAGCGTAATCTTGGCTGGAGGGCTCTACGTCTGTGATGGAGGTTTGTGTCCTCTTGTCTTTCCTGTGATCCTCAAATGTACCGTTACATCTTGGCTGAAAGAAGAGCAGGGTGTGGGCGAGCATTTGGTTTGCAGCGGAGGCAACAAACAGACTTGAGTCTGTCTGAAGCTGTAGGAGCGGCACGATGAAATCTAGAGAATTAAAAATACAAAAACAGGATGTGTCTGAAATCAAAGATTAAAATGGTAAAATGTTCTGTTCTCTTTTTAAACAGTATAAAGTGTGAGGAGAAGGTTTCCAACATGAAGAGTCACCTGCTTGTACAAAGAAAGTGAGAGACTTCGAATGCTGCAGCATGTTTCTCAAGCCCTGGATCCAGCCAATCCGTATACAGGGATCCTCCCACAGCCCAGCATCACGCCAGTGCTGAGGGTTAAACGCAAGGTCCAGAACGGAGCCCTGCTACAGAGGGCGAAGAGTCGGGTTACACTCAGCGCCGGATGGATTTAGAATACAAAGTGATAATAGTTTGGTAAAAGTACGTGAGTTCTACCTGAAGCGTTCTGAAGCCCTCCTCAGTGGCAGCTATTAAACCAGAGAGCTTGAGAGTGAAGGAGATGACACCAGGGTCTGATGATGTTTCGTTAACCACAGCGGAGATGAATTCAAGCAGACATGGGATGGTCTCCTGCACAGATCCACCTTCATCGGGAAAGGGGACAACAAGTCAAATTAAACCCTTTTGTTAATATGCTCAGTGCATCAGGCCTAACATCAAAAGACAAGTTAAAGGCACCGTCTCAAGAACTTTATGAATAAAGTTCACAATCAAAGCAATTAACTGAGTAATCAATTAAGAAAAAAGTTAAAGTGCAACTGTTTTAATGGCAGTTTAACAACCACTGATGTCTGTTTTTCCAGATGTGGATCTGAAAAACTAAATATCTACTACTACTTTGATAACTGATGAATAATGCCTGGTTTAAATGTGTCATGTCTGAATATATAAACTGCAGATATTGATCAGGATAATGAACTTTCATGCAGGACCACACTGTAGACCAGTCTTCATTATCCAGTTAATAAAGCAAGTGTGTGTGTGTGTGTGTCAGGAGGAGAAGACAGAGAGTGATGGTGATTAAACATGAATGGATGAATGGATGAATGAATGAATGAATGAATGAATGGATGGATGGATGGATGGTACTGACCAGCCTCGGTGAGTCCTGTGAACCAGTCCAGCAGCTTCTCCAGGCTGGTGTCATCGGGCAGAGAGGACCCTGAGCCCCGCAGCACCTCACACACCCGGGGCAGCAGCGACACACACTCCCGGTCCATGGCACCGATAACTTCCCACTAACACTCACTGGAGCATCCACGTGCAAATACAACGAGGGAGACGCGGTGTTTTTTTTTTAGCACTAGCTAGCTAAAAACACAAGCTGTAGTTTTTTTCCCTTGTAGTTTCTCTACTCGTGCATCTCGCGGGAGGTTTCCCGGTGTCTCTTTCTTTCTTCCGGGTGAAACGTGAGCGTCACAGTTAAAAAAAAAAAAAAAAAGCCCTAGCAACTTTCAACGATCTGTAAACAAATCCGAGAAGCTAAGCTACAACCGCCGGCGCCATATTTGCTAGTTCCATATGTTTTATAGCTCAGCTCTTTCCGCGCAGCGCCGCTTTCCTTCGATCTGGTTCCGGCACGACGTTTCCGCCGCATCGTCCATTTTCCCCGTAGCCGCACATGGTGCCACACCGGCCGGATACCGCCAGCCTCTCCGTGCTTTAGGATTTTTTTTTTTAAAGCTTACACCTCCGTCTCCCAGGCCTGTTAAATGCAAGACACGGTGGACATGGTGGACGACCCCGAGTACGAAGAGGAGGAACCCTCCTTCAGCGACCCGGAGGACTTCGTGGATGACATCGAGGATGAGGGTGAGCAAGCGGCAGGAAAGACGCCGGCTTCGCGGCCTTGTGCTAACTGTTAGCGGTTAGCTAACGCGCTGCGGCTCAGAGGCGGCCGTGCTACGGATGCTACCGCGTTAGCTTGTCCGTTTTTTATCTCCATTGTTTCAGTGAAAGACGTTAGACCTTATAAATAGATATATATATAAACATATCAGTTAAAAGTATCATAGCCAACGTTAGCTGATGATTAGCCGCCCACTGAAGCCCCATGCAAGGCTGTGGCCTCGTCGCTGTCATTCGAGAAATGTAACCAGCGCAGCGGCGAGGAGAAGCTAACAAGGAGCATTGTTCACATGTGAATGGAAAGCGGAGGCTCCACGGTGACTCTGTAATCTGGGGATCACACGAAGCCGCTGCTCGCAACTGTCACCTCGGTGTCGAGGGGAGATATCTGCTCGATGTCCCTGAACCTGGCAGATAAAACGTAAAACCCACCCGTGCCCCGGCTCCACCGGCTCCATATGTCTGAGACGCTTTTGTCAGTGCTTTTTCCAAAACTGACTCCAGGGACATCTGTCAGCCCATCACTGCAATAAGTGATAAACCCAATGATGCAGCCCAACACTTGCAGATTCACCTTTTTTTTTGCAGAGATAGAGCAGGTTGACTGTGGTTCATTCAGTTCAATTCATTTTTGTCCAACCAGCAGTTGAGCAGAAGATACCTCATTGATTATCACATGTCATGAGCAGCAGCAAACACTCACTGGGTTCATGTAAAATTACAGAAATCAATTAATGAATTGTTGCAGCTCTAATTGTATCCTAGCTATTTGCGTTAAAGTGCTCTTCAAAGTTAATGTGTGTGTGATTTAGGGATGGCACATCTCAGAATATTACAATCCACAGAGTGATATGTGTCATCTGCCAATGCTGATACCAATCTCAGGTAATAAGGACATTTAGATATTGATATTGGGCAGTGATGACACCATCAAACCCCATATGACATAGAAATGTAATTGAGATTTGATTCACAATACAAGTCACAGATAAACCATAATCTGTATCGCAGAGAATAATTAGCAAAACATTTACATAATTCCTGAATTGTTTATTCTGTGAAATACAAGTTTCCATATTGTCTAATGTAAAAGCCGAAAGCGATGTGTTTGTGAAAGTCTCATTCCAACGCTGTTATTTCTATTTGCTGTCACAAGCAAACTGTGTGGTTTTTCATTCTTTTTTTTAAAGTTAGCTGATTTAGATCATGGGATTATCCAGCAGTGATGATACATCTGTTACAGACACCAATAACCCCTGGACACCTTGATATTTAAAAGCGATGTCAGTGGTTTCATGTAGTTTTGAATTGAAGAGTTTCTTGGTCGTGTGATTAGGAAGCCTGCAGGCACATCAGATGAAAGACCTATTATTACTGCTGCCCGCCCTGATCCTTCTCTCCTTCCCCTCGTAGAGCTCCTCGATGACATCCTGAAGGACAAGCCCCAGGAGGCTGACGGCATAGACTCCGTGGTGGTGGTTGACAATGTTCCGGAGGTGGGCCCAGAACGTCTGGAGAAGCTCAAGAACGTCATACACAAGATTTTCTCCAAGTTCGGCAAGATCACTAATGAGTTCTACCCAGTGATCGAAGGCACGACCAAAGGGTACAGTCCTGTCGTCTCACACGTGTGACATGAACTCTTCGTGTCTTTTGTTCGGCCTTAATGTTGAATTTCAGATTAATTTGTTTCTCGTGGTTTCTTTTGTACACGCAGTTACATCTTCCTGGAGTATTCTGCTCCCACTCAGGCCCTCGAGGCAGTGAAGAATGCCGATGGCTACAAACTGGACAAACAGCATACGTTCAGGGTCAACCTCTTCACTGACTTTGACAAGTGAGTTCACATCAGACAAAACATGTTATTAACATACGAACAAACGTGGAGGGCACAATAACGTGACTTTTCTTATTTAATCTTCTCAGGTACATGAACATCAGCGATGAGTGGGAAACTCCAGAAAAGCAGCCTTTCAAAGATTTTGTGAGTGTTTCCTTTAACAGAAAACTTGTTTTTGTCTCAATAAAACTGTCCATTGTATCTCGATAAACCAATTTAATGTTTAAGCTCCACTAACTTTGTGTGTTCTTCTGTCTGTTCAGGGTAACATGCGCCACTGGATCGAGGATCAAGACTGTCGTGACCAGTACAGTGTCATCTACGAAGCTGGAGAGAGGACCGCCATTTTTGCAAATGACGCTAAGGAGCCAATCACAGCTGAAGAGAGAGCAGTAAGTAGTTCTTCACGCTTGGAAATGCACGACCAGCACATTTGTGTGAAACATACTTCAACAGAGCTGGAATAATAATGTTTCTGTGTCTTATTACAGCGCTGGACAGAGACGTACGTGCGCTGGTCTCCCAAAGGCACCTACCTGGCCACATTTCACCAACGTGGCATTGCATTGTGGGGTGGCGAGAAGTTCAAACAGATCCAGAGGTTCAGCCATCAGGGCGTGTCCCTCATCGACTTCTCACCGTGTGAGAGGTAATCAACATTTCTGCTTGGCAGCTGATAAAATTCTTTTAACTGTGTACATATATACTCATTACCCTCAAGGGCTCAACAGTGATGTGATGTGTTTTAAATGACAAAGTCGATTTACTGCTTGACATCTCAGTGCTGCTGTTTCGAACTCAAATCTTAAAGGTACAGTGTGTAGAATCTTGTGATATCTAGTGTTGAAGTTGAATGTTGCAGCTGAACACCCCTCACCTCACCCTCTCCTTCCAAACATGAAAAAGAACCTGTGGTAGACTTTAATTGTCATAAAAACTCAATTTAGTTTGTCCAGTCTGGACTAATGTAAAAATCATGGTGGCCTCCGTAGAGAGGGTCCTCTCGATGTAAATACAAAGTATTTAGATATAAAGTATTTAGATATAAAGAGCCTTTTCTGGGGTAAAGAAAACTACAATTCATACAGTTTAGATGAAACAAACTAGTGAAAACATCATGAGGATTATTCTACATTAAATTTCTGCCAATAGTTCCCTTTCGCCTAAATCTTACACACTGAACCTTTAAATTACAGAGATGAAATATGGCAAAGTTATTCTGCTGTCATCCAAAAAGAAATAATCAGAAACCATCTCTCCCTCACCATTTCTAAAATGCTCAATCGGGCTAAAGATCATCAGTCGTCTTATTTCCGATCTGTTAAATTAGATTTTGCTCACTTAAGAGATTGATGAAGATATTGTAACTAAATTCACACAAGTGTTTTTGCTTGTTAATGCAGAAAAGACATTGTTAGCTTCCATTGTTACATTTATATTTAGAAGGAAAAGCAGTCGAATTTCCTCAAATATTGATGATTAAATATCCCATGGTTTCTGATGCTCCTTAAAGTATAGTAAAAGCACAGTGAGGCTGTTACCCAGTGTTGGATATTGTTCGCTTAGATGTGCAGAGTCTGAGCTTTCTGACGCTTTATGTGCGGTTGTGATGTCATCAGGTATGTGGTGACCTTCAGTCCACTGATGGACACCAAGGAGGACCCACAGGCGATCATCATCTGGGACATTCTGACCGGACAGAAGAAGAGAGGCTTCCACTGTGAGAGCTCCGCACACTGGCCCATATTCAAGTGAGTTCATTTTATAGTTCTCTTCTTCTAAACTTAGATTTTCACCATCATTGTTTTTGCACTAGTCACTGTTGTGGTGTTTGAATGTGGCCTAATGTTATTTATTTGTTTTCAGATGGAGCCATGACGGGAAGTTCTTTGCCAGGATGACGCCAGACACGCTGAGCATCTATGAAACTCCAGTAAGTAGACTTACAACAAAATATCTAGTTGTATTTCTGTGGAAGTGTTTGTGTATCTATTTATATTTATTCGTGTATTAAATGTCCAAGTAGCAATTTAACACCAAGTTTCTGCTCCTTCCAGTCTATGGGCTTGCTCGACAAGAAGAGTCTCAAGATTACTGGGATCAAGTAAGAGTCCTTGATAGTGATATCCTCATTTGCTTCTTATAATTGTGTGTTTTCAGTTGTGAGAGCGTTCACTGTGGGTGTTTTTTAACAAGTCTGCATGTTTGTGTCTTCAGGGACTTCTCATGGTCTCCCGGTGACAACATCCTAGCATTCTGGGTCCCCGAGGACAAAGACATCCCAGCCAGAGTGACTCTGATGCAGATGCCCACCCGTCAGGAGATCCGGGTCCGCAATCTTTTCAATGTTGTCGACTGCAAACTGCACTGGCAGAGAAATGGAGATTACCTGTGTGTCAAAGTGGACAGGACTCCTAAAGGAACACAGGTACAGGGGACAGAGAGAGGGGGGACACAGGAGGGAGCTGACTGATAGAAAATCAAATTCTAAATCTATCGTTTTGTCTTTCAGGGTGTTGTCACCAACTTTGAAATCTTCCGCATGAGAGAGAAGCAGGTTCCTGTTGATGTGGTGGAGATGAAGGGTAAGAAAATAAACACAAAAAGGAAACTTAGCTCAGTGTTAGTTTCTTGTTGCAGAAGAAGCCTGATCTATTGTTGCTTGTGTTCGTCTTTCCAGAGGGCATCATAGCTTTTGCTTGGGAGCCCAACGGCAGCAAGTTCGCTGTTCTCCACGGAGAGTCTCCTAGAATCAACGTCTCCTTCTATCATGTCAAAAACAACGGCAAGATCGATCTTATAAGTGAGTAGATGGGAAGCACATGTGAATCGTTCTCTTGACACTATGTTGCACATTAAAATATGTCACACAAACATCCACTGAATGTGCCACCGGGTTGTTTTTGTCTTTTCAACAGAGATGTTTGACAAGCAGCAGGCCAACAGCATTTTCTGGAGTCCCCAGGGACAGTTTCTGGTGCTGGCTGGACTCAGGAGGTGTGTGTGTGTGTGTGTGCGTGTGTGTGTGTGCGTGCGTGTGTGTGCGTGCGTGTGTGATACAAGCAGCCACTGATGACAAACTAAACTTTTCTGACACCTCGTATGAGAGCTACGCTCCTGATTCTAACTCTGATCTGAGGCCCAGTTTTATATATTTGAACTTGTGTTTTTGTACTGATGAGTGTGTGTTTGTGTAAACTTTATTATCTTCTTTCGTGTGCAGTATGAACGGAGCTCTTACCTTTGTGGACACATCAGACTGCACCATGATGAACATAGCAGAACACTACATGGCGTCTGACGTGGAGTGGGACCCAACCGGTCGCTATGTTGTCACCTCCGTCTCCTGGTGGAGCCACAAGGTAAACGCTGCTCTCCTAGAGAGACAGCTTCACCCTCGAGTTCAAATCAGTCAAAAATATCAAGCCTCAGTTACATTTCTTTATCATAACGATTTGATAACGACAAGAAACAAAAATCCATATTGGTCGGGCCGTAGTAAAAACTCACATTGACCTGTTTCTGTGTCTAGGTGGACAATGCGTACTGGCTGTGGACATTCCAGGGTCGTCTCCTCCAGAAGAACAACAAGGATCGCTTCTGTCAGCTGCTGTGGAGACCCCGACCTACGACCCTGCTCAGTGCGGATTCGATCAAGGTACCATTTTGTCCTATTGTAATGAAATATACACTCTGTGTGTGTGAAGCCACTGATGACAAATCTAACTTTTCTGACACCTCGTATGAGAGCTGCACTGCAGCTCCTGATTCTAACGCTGATCTGAGGCTCACAGCATTTTCTCATTTGTTTTTTTGGCACATATTTGAAATTGTGTTTATTTTGTGACAAATCTCTGGATCGGCTGCTCTTCACACAGTAAACCCCCTCTGTCTCTTGCAGACGATCAAGAAGGATCTTAAGAAATACTCAAAGATCTTTGAGCAGAAGGATCGTCTGAGCCAGTCCAAGGCCTCTAAGGTTTGACTTACTCGATTCCTCAAACTATATCTTCCCATTTTTTATGTTTTTGTATATGTTAAGTTAGTTATAAAGTTAAAAGCTGCTCACAGCTAATGTGATTTGAAAGTGTTTTGACACAATGTGCTGAATATTTTCTGTGTGAGTAGGAGCTGGTGGACAAACGCAGGACCATGATGGAGGAGTACCATAGCTACAGGGAGAAGGCACAGCAGACATATCTGGAACAAAAGAGCCTCCGCCTCGAGCTCAGAGGAGGTGGGACCTCTCACTTTAATCACCCTTCACTTCCCTCAACAGTCCTCAGATCGAATTAGGAAAATCTCTTGACTGTTTTTTGTTTGTTTGTCTTTTCAAGGAGTGGACACTGATGAGCTGGACAGCAACGTAGATGACTGGGAAGAGGAGACTATTGAGTTTTTTATCAACGAAGAAATCATTCCTCTTGGAGATCTGTAGTCCCCTACGCAGGTAACACTCAAACACACTGTACACGCAGGCCATGATTTATTGGAACAATATTTAATTTATATATCACGTTTTTATAGCATCAGATAATTAATTAAAACTAAACTTGGTCCATGTCACGTCTTTACATTCAGTCTCTGGAACACAAGTCTTAGTCTCTAACTTGTTCTCTCTCTGTCTCAGTCGTTCCGTTTTTGTGTGGAAGGAGGAGAGAGGAACTGCGTCATTGATTGGAGAAGGACGACGACCACGCTGTGAATCTTGAGGTTCGTCACGAGCCTCAACCTTCAACGTTAGCGACATCATCAAAGCAAGCCTTGCAGATCAGCAGCCACGTCGAGGGACAGGAGAGGATTCTTTCTAGTGAATATTTTCTCTTTGTCTCTCACCATCATCCGCCCCTTTTTCTCCGTGGAACTTGATATTTAGTAATACAGCGTCCTTTTTTCTATTCATTAATTGGAGTCACTCACTCGAATCTCGGCCCCATCTCTCATTGGACCTTCTTCTTCCTCGGGGTTGTTTCTGAACTAACCTCACCATGCTAGTGTGTTATCACAGGGCAGCACAGAGTGCCATACCGGTGTGGGGCGGAGGTGTTGTGACTAAACAAGAAGCCTTGTTAATAAAAGTGTTGATGTGGCGCTATAGTGGCCTGTATCCTCCTCCTTTCAGACTGGGCTTTCACACAGGGAGGGGTTGTGCAGTGGGAATAACTTTAAATAAACATTCAAAGTCATTACTACCTGCTCCTGTCTGAGTGTTTGATTCTTTATTACCGCCGTCAAGTACGTTCCGTTTTCATTTCGGAGTCTGTGAACAGGATTCCTTTTGATTCACCTGATTTTTGTGTGAAGGGGTGAGGCAGGTAGACTCGAGGCAAAACACTATTTTATTTTTATTTTCTTTAACAGATGAGATGAGTTTATAAATGGATGTTAATGTAATGATGCAGCACATGTGATCAGAATTAATGGTTAATTATTATGGAATTATCTCCTTTAAAAAGACGTACGGGAAGGCATCTTTGCATTTTGAGTGGGAAATAAAAAATACTTTGCTCATCGTTTATTTTGGGCTCTAGTTTTTTTTCAGTTGTGATCTAAACACATCTGTGATGCATTTTGATCTCATTGGATCCGTGTGGGGCTGGTAACCCAGGTACTTAATTAAATGATCCGGCTGTGATTTAAAATTTTGCAACACATGACAAACATAGTTTTGTATCTAAGAAACTAGAATGCAAGTGTGTGTGATCCAGCCACATTCAGAACAAATCAATGTCATAAACACACATTAAGTCGTCACTGCCACTAGAGGTCGCTGTATCTGAAGTTTGAGTTCCCAGACTTCTTGTCTTCCTGAGATAAAAGTTATGTTTAAGTTTTCTCAGATTTAAAAATCTAACTCCAAAAAGCATTTGCTCAGCTTCAATTAAAAAAACCAAGTGAAATGTTTTCTGTGTTGAGATGACCATACTTTTCATCAGTCAGTTCTTCATGTGTAGATTCTCCTGGTTCTCTGTGGTGTGATGGACCTTTGTTAAACAATGGTGTGGTGGTGGTGGTGATGTGGCTGTAACTTTCAGCTGCCCGGTGCTTCTGATGTGGAGACAGCAGCCGCCCCATCGTTTCCCCTCCGGCTCACTGATGTTATAAATAGTCATTAAACTGCAGCTCCGGAGTCTTCGTCCCATGATGGATGTTTAGGTTTCCATGACAGAGTCAGGTGAGGAAATACACAGTGAGAGCTCAGAGAGAAAAACACCAGGTGTAATGTCAGGTTACAGCCTTGCACCAAAAATATGATCTTACCTCAACTTAGATTTCTGAATCCTCTGGGACCAGACTCAGTGGTTATATAACTATACAGTCACAATAATAACCACACACTTATCTCTATATTATATATCATGAAGCTCTGAGATACAGCTCTTATTATTATTGATCTGTTTTTCTTTGAATAATCCAAAACTTATCTAATTATAACATAAAGTAGATCCTTGCTCTGTATCACCAGTGAAGTGAGACTGTTCTTCACAACCCTCTTCCTCCTCCTCTTCTCTTACACCTCCTCCTCCTCTTCCTAATCCTCCTCCTCTTCTTCCTCCTCCTTCTCTTCCTACTACTCCTCCTCCTCTTCTTGCTCTTCCWCCTCCTCTTCCTAATCCTCCTCCTCTTCTTCCTCCTCTTGCTCTTCCTCCTCCTTCTCTTCCTACTCCTCCTCCTCTTCTCCTCTGCCTCTTCCACCTCCTCTTCTCCTCCTCCTCTTCCTACTCCTCTTCCTCATCTTCCTCCTCTTCCTCATCTTCCTCCTCTCCCTCTTCCTCCTCCTCTTTCTCCCCCTCATCTTCCACCTCTGCCTCTCTCGCCTCCTCTTCCTCCCCCTCATCTTCCTCCTCTCCTCCTCCTCATCTTCCTCCTCTGTCTTTCTCTCCTCCTCTTCCTCCCCCTCATCTTCCTTCTGTCCTCCTCCTCCTCCTCTCCCTCCTCTGTCTTTCTCTCCTCCTCTTCCTCCCCCTCATCTTCCTTCTGTCCTCCTCCTCCTCATCTCCCTCCTCTGTCTTTCTCTCCTCCTCTTCCCCCTCATCTTCCTCCTCCTCCTCCTCCTCCTCCTCCTCCTCCACCTCCTCCTGTGCGGCCGCCTGCAGGTCCCGGGCCTCAATTTGAGAACCAGTCATGTGCGGGTTCATGTTGCAGAGTGAGAGGGGGGATCGTGCACGTGGCTCGTGCACGTGGCTCGGGCACGGTGGTGTCTGGTCCCCTGAACTCTCGCGATACTTTGCTCCTTCACGTGCGGACACCGAGCAGCTGCGGAGCTCGGTCCTGCTCGGTCGAGCTCACCGGGTCTGCTCTCATCATCATCATCATCATCATCATCCTCACCACCGGGCTGAGGGACACACAGACACCGGGCAGGTGGGGGACAAAGGACCGACTGACCATGGAGCTCTCCAGCCGGGTAAGAGAACCGCTCCGCTGTGTTTCCCCTGAGGGATGGGAGCCGGCGAGAGGGGCTGAAGTGTGGAGGCAGAGACAGAACAGAGCCGCTGTGTGTGCAGCTCCGGAGGAAAACACTTCGTGTGTCCACCGACTGTAACTGTGAGTCTTTACAGCAGAGCGGGACACTGTCCCATCAATGGACTCATTGTAACTCACTGGTTCTATTCGAGCTGAGCTGCTCAAACTGAACCTGCATGAAACCAGCAGGTTTATGACTGAGCTGCACACACACAGCACATGTAGGTAACAGAGGAGCATTTGTCCTGGAGATGAGAGGAGACAGACAGCGGGGGGCAGTGCAGTGATAAAGGGATGAGTCCTATGGGATGTTGCACAAGATTTTAATTAGTGCACACATGTGGTAATGTTGCGCATGAAACAAGAAAAAGCAGAATGATAAGAATAATATTGCTCCTCTATTGTATGTGTTGTTGGTGATGGTGTCTCGTTATCATCCTCCCTGCAGGGAGAGAGGAGTTCACATAATCAGATATATTATAGAGTATTAAACGTTAAGAGTATTAAGTCAAAACACAAGTGAAAGTAAAAGTTT